ATCCTCCAAAGAGGCCGATTTTGACACCGCTGGTACCAATCTTGATTTGAAGCTTTCGTCACTGCAGGAAGCATTACTCTTTGGTTTTTTCGGTAAAGTCACGTAGGTATAAAATAAAATAAATCAGACTATGCTTTCCCACCTGATTACGGATGCTTGTGTTGCGCCCGAAACGTCGTGATTTATTTTATTTTATACCTTCGTGACTTTACCGAAAGAACCAAAGAGTACCGCTGGTAACAGTCTTTGCCAAGTCCACTCAGCTCGATATTTTTGCGTACCACATTAGCCCACCTCTCATCTAGCCTGAGCTGCGCTAATTTGTCTCCCACTATCCGGCCAATCAGGAATGGCTTGGGCACGTGGGGGCTAGGAATGCGGGATACAAGACCCAGGCAATGGAGCCTTGCCTGCCAGAGGAGCTCACTGATGGGACTGTGTTCAGATCTTTCAATGATCTGTGAGCTCTTCACACAATCCAGCCTGGTTAAAACCAGGTAGAATCGAAGGCAGGCCAGCCTGAATGTTTATAACTGGTACAGATGTTCCATGAGAGGGGTCCACATTTTGAAAGCATAGAGAAGGGATGGTATGACTGTAGCCGAGAAGGCCCCAATGCTTCGTGTGGTGCGACAGACCAGGTATCTCCCACCCAGCATCATGCAGCTGACGAAAAGAAAATCCTGCTCAGCTGATTAGGAGTGAGACATTTGCTGGCAAATCGGAATGATTCATCAGCACACTACACAGGTACGGAAATGTTCCCACTCTCTCCACAGCTGCCCCATCACTCTTGGAGAGTTGAGGGAGTGGGGTATTTGATGACACAAACACCCAGGCAGGTGCTTAGTGTTTGTGAGGCTGATGGTAGACCCCCGTCTCTTTGCAGCATTCTCCAGGATTAGCAGAAGAACCTCAAACTCTTTCTCAGAGTGAGCAGAAACTACCAGATCATCAGCGTACATAATGTGGTTGACCATTAGGGAGTCATCCATCGACCGTACCCGGGCAACGATCATCCTCCCATTGAATCTGTACCAGATCGGCATGTCATTGGTAAAGCCAAGGATGTTACATAACGTGGGAGCCAGAGCACACATTCAGTTTCACTTTAATTTATTTGGTATAGCCCTGTGAGCCATTCGGCTCTTGAATCGGGTGCAACCACAACAAACAAAAACATGAACAGGAGACATCTTAAAGTGACTACACACAAACAGAAAAATCCAGGAAAAAACAGCAAAGTCTTCCAGAAAAAGCACCGTATTTCAATGCTGTGTGCAAAAATCCCAGCGGGATGAAAGTCAAACAATAACAACCATAAGACAATTTAAATTAAAGTTATCAGTCTAACTCTGTACTACAACAAACAAAATATGGCTCAACCAAAACGTTTTCGAAATCACCAAAATAAAGCTATAAAAGCAACGTAACAGTGATCATCTGTCGCACCCCAAGATAAACAGGTAATGGCTCTGACTGTCAGCTATGCAGCTTTACCCGGGCCTGCCCACAATCCTGAAGGTCCTTAATTATTGTGAGCAGCGATACGGGGACTCCGAAAGCACAAAGAAAACCAAGATCCCTGGTCTACAGATGATTTCATTGGCCTTGGCCAAGTCGATGTAGGTCCTGTTGGAATTGCTCACACCTCTACTAAAGCAGACGAACAGAAAATATGGCATCTGTGCAGGCCTCTCCTCAGCGTGCCTGGCAAAGCAATGTTAAATAATCCTTGCCAGGACCTTTCACGGCACACTGAGGGAGATGCCCCTGTAGTTGTTAGTCTATGTGGTCCCCCTTCTTATAGATGGAGACCACCAGGGCATCCTTCCAATCGTGCGGAACCCGTCCAGTGGTCCAGACCGTTGTGATGATGTCATATAGGGCTATCTGCACACAGATGCCACCCTTCCTCAGCATTTCGCTGGTAAGGTCATCTCTGCCCGGCACTTTTCCTGATCTTAGATTTTGGATCGCCTTCCGTACTTCCTCAACAGATGGCACTTCAGCCAGCCACGCACAGGGGGTGATTACTACTGCCAATATTTGGGGCACGGTAGCACCAGCAGGGTCGTCCTCAACTTGCCCCTTGATGCTTTCTGGGCTGAGGGAATTCCCCTACCGAAGACCTCACAGAAATGCTCTGCAAACCTGCAGACCAGTTCCTAGGGGTCGGAGATTGGATCAATGTTTATTTTCCTGAATGATGGTAATCGGTGTGACTTTGCAACCGCCATTCGCCACTAAGTGGCAGTCGCCTCACAACGGCTCTTGTGCCAGGCTATGTGCACTATAAGACCACGTGAGGCGGTGACACGTGGCCACTCGCAGTGGTTTCTTTGCCGTTTAAGGAGGAAGCCCGACAAGTAGGGTTTGGCCAGTAGACGTCATTGATGCCTGTCCCCCCCCCCCCCGGGGGCTTCTGGTACAAGCTTAGTTAGATTTTTTCCACGTAGTTTAGTGGTAATAACATTGAAGGTGGAGGTGTTACCAGCCCTTCGCACTCGCCAGAGACCCCATTGGCTTCAGTGTTGGCTACAAACGCCAACACTACCACCATTATCACCGCCACGACCATCATCATCGCCACCACCACCTTCACCACCAATAGCATCATCACCACCACTTTCACCACTAACATCATCACCACCTTCACAATCACCATCATCATGACCACCATCATCACAAAGACAAAGATCCCCTTTATAGTCTAAACAGACTGTTGGGGCAAGTGCTGTTAGCGAGCACCTATAAAAGCTGGAACGGCACACGAAGGGGTGCGTGGCCAGCACCACGCCTGACCGCCTTTGTCTCCCCAAAGGCGGTGTTCACACACCCCACTAGGTACCCATTTGAGGCTGAGTCAACCTAGTGTTGAGATGTTATCTGCCTCGCCTGGTATACAGGGGGTTCGTGGTTTCGATCCCAACCCTGATGATGCCTGCTGTATATTTGGAGTTCGCGTGTCTCTCTATCTCTCTTTTCCCGTGTTCGTGTGGATTTTCTTCGTGTCCTCCGATTTCTCCTTTAACGTTCAGAATCAACAAACACGCATTTAGAGTGTTTGGGCTGCAGCTGCTGTAGATTTCCCCACGATGGAAGAGCCAATTTTCGCTCAGCTATCATCTGTGATGGCCATTTCGCTTCTGAAAAAGAGGTACAGAGCTCAGTGGGCCTTACCTGGTTGATCACTGCTACATTGGTTGATTACATTGCATTTATGGCTTTTATTTTGGTGATTTCGAAAACGGTTTTTTTTGTTTTGGCCATGATTTTGTTTAATGTATACGGAGTTAGACTGATGTCCTTAATCTTAGTTGTCTTGTGGTTGTTGTTGTTGTTGTTATTTTGACTTGCATCCCACTGGGATTGTTTTGCACACAGCGTTGGTGTACGGTGCTTTTTCAGGAATATTTTTGATGTTTTTTTTTTTTTCCTGGATTTTCTGTTTGCACAGTCAACACATAGTCACTTTAAGATGTTTTTATTGTTCATGTTTTTTTGTTTGTTGCGGTTGCACCCGATTCAAGAGCCGAATGGCTCACAGGGCTCTATACCTAATAAATGAACTATGAAGTAAATGAACTATGAAATGAAAAGCAATAATTTATTTTGTAGTTTAAGTTATGATTACAAAGTCGCTGAAGCCAGTTGTAAAAATAAAACAATCTCCATGACTGAGGTATTTGTGTTTGATCTCGTGAAAGTAGATGTGTCGTTACCCCCCCCACCCAATCAGCACTCAGCACACAAAACGTGCATAAATTAGTGACTAGTTCAGCATTAACCAGTTGCTGCGTGTTTGACAGTTAAACTCACGACATTTCACCCACCATTTGTTGTTCCTCGCTAAAAGACTCATCTTTATTAAATTAGCGCATCCCTGTAACTACTTCCTATCCTCGTCCCTTCAAACCTCTTAATCATCCTCCCCCTTGCCAACCTCCACTCTCCCTCTCCCGACCATCATCCTCCCTCACCATCCTCCCCCTTACTGACCACACCACTCTCTCTCTCTCTCCCGACCATTACCCTCCCTCACCATCCTCCCCCATCTCCTTACTAACCACACCACTCTCCCTATCATCACCCTCCCTCACCATCCTCCCCCTTACTGACCACACCACTCTCTCTCTCCCGACCATTACCCTCCCTCACCATCCTCCCCCTTACTGACCACACCACTCTCTCTCTCCCTACCACCAGCCTCCCTCTCCCTACCGTCACCCTCCCTCACCATCCTCCCCTTCACCTTACTAACCACACCACTCTCTCTCTCCCTACCATTACCCTCCCTCACCATTCTCCCCTTCACCTTACTAACCACACCACTCTCTCTCTCCCTACCACCACCCTCCCTCACCACCCTCCCCCTTACTAACCACACCACTCTCTCTCTCCCTACCACCACCCTCCCTCACCATCCTCTCCTTTACTAACCACACCACTCTCTCTCCCTACCACCACCCTCCCTCACCATCCTCTCCCTTACTAACCTCACCACTCTCCCTCTCCCTACCACCACCCTCCCTCACCATCCTCCTCCTTACTAAACACACCTCTCTCCCTCTCCCTACCACCGCCCTCCCTCACCACCCTCCCCCTTACTAACCACACCACTCTCTCTCTCCCTATCATCACCCTCCCTCACCACCCTCCCTCTCCCTACCGTCACCCTCCCTCACCATCCTCCCCCATCCCCTTACTAACCACACCACCCTTCCTCTCCCTACCACCACCCTCCCTCACCATCCTCCTCCTTACCAACCACACCACTCTCCCTCTGCCTACCACCACCCTCCCTCACCATCCTCCCCCTTACTAACCACACCACTCTCCCTTTCCCTATCAACCTTCTTTACCATCCCTTCCCCCCTCCCCAATAATCAAATCGCATCTTTTCCCCCCATCAGCCAATAACTAATGTACCACTCTGTAATTGTTGCCCAGCGCATTGATAAAAGCGCGATATAAAATCCTAGATAAGATTTACACATTCTAGTAGCCTGGTGGCGTTTCGCCAGTGATTGCAACAACCACAAGCAGCCTCGTTAGCCGACAGCCCACAGTTGTGGAGAGAATTCCTCCTTCTATCTTACCCAAATAATAATTGTCTGGGCTACACGTGGGAGCAATTTTTCAATTAAAAGTAATTGCTGGGGGGCGTTTGTTGTTGATTTTGAGATACGACGAGGAGTGGGAGAGACGTCCGCCTGGTTGATTTTAGAGTTTTCTTTGCTCGAAGTCTTTTTTTTTACATCCAACACACCTCATAAATACCCAGATGATCAAACCCGCACGGCAACTGAAGCCAGCGACTTGGAGTTGGTGGGTGGTGGTTCAGCGCTGTTAAGGGCAATGTCGGTACGTAACGAGCGGTGTCACGCGCACACGCATGTGTGTTCTGCGTATCAGTGTGTGCGCGCGTGTGTGTCAGAGTGTGTGTACGTGTGTGTCAGTGTCTGTGTGTGTTTAACCAGGCTCGATTGTGTGAGGAGCTCACAAATCCTTGAAAGATCTGGACAAAGTCCCATTTGTGAGCTCCTCCGGCAGGCCAGGCTGCGTTGGCTGGGTCATGTAGCCCGCATGCCCAACCACCGCATGCCTAAAACAGCTTTTGTTCGGCTAAACGGGCGCGGCATGGGCTAGAGAGGAAATGGAGTGATGTGGTGAAATAGGATGTGGAGGTGAGTGGACTTGCCGATGACTAGTACCAGCGGTGTCAAGATCGACCTCTGTGGAGGAGGCTCGTGAAGGACGCTGCTGCTACTGGGCAGTTGGAGGCAGTCGCTCTCCAGCGACAATGAAGAGCGGAGGAGCGACGCTCACAACAACGAGCGGAGCGCCGGGTGGCTAAACACAGCAAGTTAGGACAGTAAGGGGCACAGGTGGTGCATCTGCCAGTCATCTCAGTCAGTCGACCTCATGCCAGCGGGCGTTCGACACGGCGGTGTCGAATGGCGGTTGTTGCTGTCAGTGTGTGTGTACGTGTCAGTGTGTGTGGGGAGCGGTAGTGTAGTGATTAGCGCAACGCTTATTTGAACAGGTCAAGGGCCTCCTCTAGGTCGACTCAACCTTAAATCAGTCCTGTACCTGGTGCGATGTGTAAGTATCGCCACTGGGGATACAAAGGCGGTCGGGTGTGGTGCTGACCACCCACTTCCTCGTGTACCGTGTCAGCGTTAATAGTTGCTCGCTAACACCACTTGTTCCTCTCTGTGTGACAGGTGTCTCCGTGTCGCCCTCTCTGTGAGACAGGTGTCTCCGTGTCTCCCTTTCTGAGACGAATGTCCCCGTGTCTCCCTCTCTGTGTGACAGGTGTCTCCGTGTCTCCCTTTCTGAGACGAATGTCCCCGTGTCTCCCTCTCTGTGTGACAGGTGTCCCCGTGTCACCACGCGTGGCTCCTCCTGCTCTTGCTGGGGACACCCGTGGCCTCCAGCGGGCAGGTTTTAGGAGATGGATCGGAGAGTCGCTGTGTAGCCGGCGTTAACGGCTTTCCCGGGGTCCCTGGGACGCCAGGATTGCCCGGGAGAGATGGGAGAGATGGTAGGAGAGTGGAGAGAGAGAGAGGAGAGAGTAAAAGATGGTGAGAGATGGAAAAATGGGAGAGGTGGTGAGAGAGAGCGAGGAGAGAGAGATGGGGAAAGTTAGACTGAGACAGATGGAGAGAGAGAGATATGGAAACATGTAAGAGATGGTGAGAGAGGCGAGAGAGAGGAGAGATGGGGAGAGATGGTGAGGGAGAGGATAGAGGGGAGCTGGAGAGAAAGTCAGAGAGAGGAGAGGTGGGGAGAGTGAGATTTGAGAGAAATGAATAGAGAGAGAGAGATGGAGAATGGTGAGAGAGAAGGGGGAGGGGGGAGAGATGGTGAAAGAGAAAGAGAGAGAAAGAGAGGCGAGAGAGATGGATGAAGAGATGGGGGATGAGGTGACCGAGGAGAGATGGGGAATGGAGAGAGAAAGAGATGGAGAGAAAGATTGAGACAGAGAAGGGGGAGAATTAAAGGAAAGATGGGAGAGAGAGAGAGAGGGGGAGCGGGGTGGGGGAGAGCGAGGAGATATGGAAGAGAGAGGAGGGCGTGAGATGGAAGACACTGTGAGAGAGCAGGGAAGGAGACGGTGAAATAAAGTCAGGAGAGAGGGGAGAGTAGAGCGAGGTGGAGAGAGAGGGGGGCGTGAGTGGGAGGAGAGAGGGAGAGTAGAGCGAGGTGGAGAGAGAGGGGGGCGTGAGTGGGAGGAGAGAGGGGAGAGTAGAGCGAGGTGGAGAGAGAGGGGCGTGAGTGGGAGGAGAGAGGGAGAGTAGAGCGAGGTGGAGAGAGAGGGGGGCGTGAGTGGGAGGAGAGAGGGGAGAGTAGAGCGAGGTGGAGAGAGAGGGGGGCGTGAGTGGGAGGAGAGAGGGAGAGTAGAGCGAGGTGGAGAGAGAGGGGGGCGTGAGTGGGAGGAGAGAGGGAGAGTAGAGCGAGGACAGATAGGAGTAGCGAGAGGAAATAGAGAGAGGGGAGAGTTGGGAGCGAGGTGATAGTAGAGAGTGAGATTGAGAGAGATTATTAAATCACGTTGAAATCTCAGGTTGCGCGGTTAATCTGCAAATCGGATAAAACCACACGTAGTTACCCTTTGATGAAGTTGGCCGTTTTTTTTTCCCGGGAGTGTCAGCGAACGGTCACCAAACCAGAGTTTCATCAACTCTACTCGTCACCGTGACCCGGCATTACACACAGAAGGACGGTCGGTCGGTCAGTCGGTCACATGGATGGACGGTCGGTCAGTCGGTCAGTCAGTCAGATGTATGGACGGTCAGTCGGTCAGTCAGTCAGATGTATGGACGGTCGGCCAGTCGTTCGGTCAGTCGATCAGATTGATGGACGGTTAGTCAGTCGTTCGGTCAGTCGGTCAGATGGATGGATGGTCGGTCAGTCGGTCAGTCGGTCAGATGTATGGACGGTCGGTCAGTAAGTCTGTCAGTCGGTCAGATGGATGGACGGTCGGTCAGTCAGTCAGTCAGTCGGTCAGACGGATGGACGGTCGGACGGTCAGTCAGTCAGTCGGTCAGATATATGGACGGTCGGTCAGTCAGTCGGTCAGTCAGTCAGATGGATGGACGGTCGGTCAGTCAGTCGGTCAGACGGATGGACGGTCGGACGGTCAGTCAGTCGGTCAGATGGATGGACGGTCAGTCGGTCAGTCAGTCAGATGTATGGACGGTCGGTCATTCAGTCAGTCGGTCGAATGGATGGACGGTCAGTCGGTCAGTCAGTCGGTCAGATGGATGGACGGTCGGTCAGTCAGTCGGTCAGTCGGTCAGATGGATGGACGGTCGGTCAGTCGGTCGGTCAGTTGGTCAGATGGATGGACGGTCGGTCAGTCAGTCGGTCAGTCGGTCAGATGGATGAACGATCAGTCAGTTGGTCGGTCATTCGGTCAGATGGATGGACGTTCGGTAAGTCAGTCGGTCAGTCGGTCAGATGGATGGACGGTCAGTCGGTCAGTCGTTCGGTCAGTCGGTCAGATAGATGGTCAGTCGGTCGGACGGACGGTTGGACAGAGGGACGGACGGACAGAGCTGAGCTGAGCCAAACCATTGAAGCCTAAAAAAAGAGACGAGTTGATCCTCTCCGCAGGGATTCCGGGAGCCCAGGCCCTCAAAGGAGACATGGGGAACCCGGGAATCAAAGGTAGCCATGGAGAACCAGGTGAGTCATCATCAAACTTAGAACTAAACCTTTTTTCAATTTTATTTTACCAGCTATACAGCTCTTTTTCAGAGGCGGCATAGGCTGTGAAAAATGATATAATCTCAACGAATTGGCGGTTCATTATCATCACGTGGGAATATGTAGCAGGAGACAAATTACTCTAAACGCGTGACGTCGATTCTAAATGTGGAGAGGAAAAAAACGGAGGACCAGGAGAAAAATCCACCAGACCACGAGGAGAGAAAGAGATGCAAACTCCAAATATACAGCAGGCGTCAGGGTCGGCATCGAACCCCACGATCTCCCGTCCATCAGGCGAGGTGGTCAACATCTCGACAGCCTTTTTCTATCCACAATAGACTCACACAGAGACCCATAGACTCACACAGAGACCCATAGACTCACACAGAGACTCATGGACTCACACAGAGACCTATAGACTCACACAGAGACCCATAGACTCACACAGAGGCCCATAGACACACAGAGACCCATAGACTCACACAGAGACCCATAGACTCACACAGAGACGCATAAACTCACACACCCATAGACTCACACAGAGACCTATAGACTCACACAGAGCTCCATAGACTCACACAGCTTAAAGGTCGCGGTCTGAGCGTGGCTGTGTTTCACTCCAGCGCTGTCCTCGAGACAGCCTGGTCCCTTCATCTGATGAAGGCCGCTTGTGTTGTGGCCGAAACGTCGTGATTTTTGTTGTTTTATTTTTTACTTACGTGACTTTACCGAATAGAACCAAAGAGTACTCACACAGAGACCTATAGACTCACACAGAGACCCATAGAATCACACGGAGACCCATAGACTCACAAAGAGACCCATAGAATCACACGGAGACCCATAGACTCACACAGAGAACCATAGACTCACACAGAGCTCCATAGACTCACACAGAGACCCATAGACTCACACAGAGACCCATAGACACACACAGAGACCCATAGACTCACACAGAGACCCATAGACTCACACAGAGACCCATTGAATCACACGGAGACCCATAGACTCACACAGAGACCCATAGAATCACACGGAGACCATAGACTCACATAGAGACTCATAGACTCACACAGAGCTCCATAGACTCACACAGAGACCCATAGAATCACACGAAGACGCATAGACTCACACAGAGACCCATAGAATCACACGGAGACCCATAGACTCACACAGAGACCCATAGAATCACACGGAGACCCATAGATTCACATAGAGACTCATAGACTCACACAGAGCTCCATAGACTCACACAGAGACCCATAGAATCACACGAAGACGCATAGACTCACACAGAGACCCATAGAATCACACGGAGACCCATAGACTCACACAGAGACCCATAGATTCACACAGAGACGCATCGTTTGTTGTCCTTCCCCCGCAACTCCGCTTAGCACGGTTGGAAAACCTACGGCGCGAAAGAAGAAGTTCAGACTGCATGCACACATTTCTATTCTTTGGGTCTTTCGGTAAATTCACGTAGGTAGGTTCAAACTAATAAAATAAAATAAACAAAAAACGAAAACGTTTCGATCACAACACAAGCGATCGTCATCAGGAGGAAAAAATAGCTGCTTTTCCTCCTTATTACATTCTATGCTCTTTGGTTCTTTCGGTAAAGTCACGTAGGTTGAAAATAAAATCAATCACGACGTTTCCGGCGCAACACAAGCGTCCATCATGAGGCGACGTTTCGGGCGCAACACAAACGTCCATCATCATCATCCAGCTTGCACGACGACATGTGTGCATCAGGTGATGAAGGACGCTTGTGTTGCGCCCAAAACGTCGTGATTTATTTTATTCTCTACCTACCACGTGACTTTAGCGAAAGAACCAAAGAGTATGGATTCCTGCAGTCACGAAAGCTTCAAATCGAGAATTACATTTCTATTTTAATGTAGAGACCCTTGTGCCTGAAGAAGAAAGTGCATCGCGATCACCTGATTTCGCACGTATCCACCCGGAAAAAAAAAGCAAGGTGGACACTGAGCGCTGAACACTCGACGCTACTGTGACGGGATCCGTATCGTTACTAACGTGCGTCCATGTTGTCTCTTGCAGGTGGCAGTGGAATTTCGGGGATGAAGGGTAAGACTTTGCAAGGTCGCCACGGTGATCGTCATCGCCGCCGTGGTCTACCCACTGCTGGGTGAAGTCTTCTCAATAGGCCGCGCGAACTCCGGGGTGTCCTCGCAGCGGCGGTAGCTTCAGGCTCAGCCATCGAACAAAAGATGGCCGGCCATCGCGGGGCGCTTTTGGATGCGGTTCTGCATTCTTCCTCCGGACATTCCGAAGCCACTGGGAAGCAAAGCCACTTTCAAATCATCGTCTAGATTGACAAACTCATTTCTCTAGGACTGCTTTCTGTGCGTTCAGTTGATTGTCCTTCCAACGCACCTCTGATTGGCGCAGTTGGCTACGTACGGTGCGAAGGAAGTTCAACATACATAGATAGAGACCCATAGACTCACACAAAAAAAAACTCATACATTCGTCACACAGAGACCCATGGACTCACACACAGAGACCCATGGACTCACACGCTGCATCGTGTGATCTAGGATGCGCTTCTACGGCCGTCTGGAATACTCTTCCTTCTGATATTCGGAAGCTGCTGGGAGCTATGCACTTTTTTAAATCATCAAACATTGAAAACTCACTTATTTAGTACTCTTTTTAGATTTTTATAGTGTGTTGTCCTTCCGCACCTCTGATTAGCGCAGTTGGCTTTCGTACGGTGGGGTGAAATAAGTAAAAAAAAACATGCGTTAGCAGGGAATCTATGTATGTGTGGCGTTTGTATGCTTGCTCCCCGTTCTGCAAAGTGATAGTGTTCGTGAGTGGAGCTCGAATATTCTCCCCCTTTTCTGCAGTGTTTTTTTGGAGTGAGTGTGTGTTTGTGTATGCGAGAGTGGGGAGCGGCGGTACAGCGGTTAGCGCTACGCTGGGCTAGGAGCCTGGCGAACACGAGTTCGCGTCCCACTCAGGGCCAACATCACCAGTGATGATTATTTGAACAGGTCCTAGGGCCTCCCTTACGTCAAATCAACCTCAAACAAGTACCTGGTGTAGCGGTGTGTAGTAAAAATCGCTACTGGGGGGACAAAGGCGGCTGGACGTGGCGCTGGCCACCCACCCCCTCGTGTGCTGTGCCGGCCTTCATAGGGGCTGGCTAACAGCACTTGTCCCAAGAGTCTCTTAAGGCTCTACGGGGGGATTTTGGCGTCGTTTTTGTGTGTATAAGTCTGTACGTATGTTGAACTTATTTCGCACCGGACGTAGCCAACCGTGCTAATTAGAGGTGTGTGTATGCATCCGTGTGTGTATGTACTGTGATTGATGGTGACAGATTGGAGGGTACCTTAATCCAGCAGTTGACAGACCGATGTCTCTGTGTGATTCAGGTGAACCCGGTCAAAAGGGAGATATGGGAACCCAAGGTGTGAAAGGTGAACGAGGATTTCTAGGTACGTACATTCGTAACGATACATGGCCTGGTATACAGGGGTCGTGGGTTCGGTACCAACCCGGCATTTCGTCGTTATATGTTGTACGGTCTGTTCTGGAGTCAATTAATTGGGGGGGGAGGGGGGTGGTCACAAGACATCTGGACCACTCTGTACTGGACTGTGCTGCCTTCGTTTCACTGGGCCGTGTTTCTCAGCCGTCCATCATCAACGTAGCGGGTTGAGCGAGTGGCTCGCAATCGGAGAGTCGCCAATTCAAATCGTGGTCGGGGAATCACTCGACTCATCAGCCCTCCGGGTCGATAAAAATATTAACTACTTTCGGGGCAAGTAAACAGTGATCCTTCCTTTGTATAAAATCACCCCCATCGCATTCCCCACCCTGCCATAGGAATGTGGAATGTCCACCACTGGCTCAGGGCTGTGAACAGATGATCAAGCGCCACGATGCTGACTTTGAATATTTGGCTTATAAGTAAAATGGGTCGGAGGTAATTTCAACCAATCATCAATCCAGGGTCGGGAAAACAAGTACCGAATTGTGGCGAGGCAGCAGTGGTTGTCATAGGAGCACGAGCCCGATATTTTTGCCATCGGGGAAAAGATGCTGTACAGGGTGGTCCAGATGTCCTCTTACCCCCAATTAATTGACCCCTAAAATGTGTTTCCCTTTGCATATTCACTTTATTTAAAATAAGCCTTGGTTTCAAATATTAAGTTTGAGAGAATTAAATGGGGGTCACAAAAAATCTAAACCATTCTGACCTTGCCCCCTCCACGTGGCCTGTCCTTGCTGGAGCAGACTGGCTCCATCATGAGCACGTGAAATATTCCACTCTTGTCTCGGGGACCACCAGAAGACACGAGTATCGCCACGTTAACGCTCATTTAACAACAATAATAATAACGTGGTATTCACGCCAATCTCAAAATCTATATTTGTCCTGGAGAAATCCGATGGGCTATGAAACTCTTTTCCAGTCGAAATCTGATGTTACAGGAACGCTGACGAAGGAAGGCGCTGCTGCTTTGATTCACAGCCACAGAGTCTGCAGTCGTTACTCAGCAGGGGGCGACGCTGCTGAGTGCCATCACAATCAAGTGATTTGCAGGGACTTGATAGCAAATTTGGACTATGACACCAGTACACAATGGGCCTACTCGTTCTGACTGGCCTCCCCGCTACCGGGGAGGCCAGGTCACCGCTCCGATGATGCTGAACTCACTATCAAGCGGCGAGTCATGCTGCTGTCCCATTATCCCTGTTGCTGGACGGAAGGGTGGTGCCTTGCCTTGCGTGTCCGCCCCATGCACTTTATGCGCTGGTGTTGGGCACGTGTTTGCGTGTTTGCACGCGAACGAGCGTGTGTGGCGATTGGCAGTGTAGCGGGTTAGCGCTACGCTGCGCTACGAACCCTGCTATCCGAGTTCGATTCCCGCTCATGGCCAATAACAGTGACGATTATTTGAACCGGTCCTGGGCCTCCATTAGGTCGACTCAGCCTCAAATTAGTACGTGCTGTGGTGTGTTAACATTAGCACTGGGGAGACAAAGGCGGCCGGGCGTTGGCCCTCGTGCACCGTTTTAGGTGCTTGCTAATAGCAGTTTCCTGGACAACCTGTTAAAGGCTATATGGGGGATATTTACCTTTTTTTTGTCTTTGTGCCACCCCTTCGTGCGCTATGCTGGCCTTTAGAGGCTCTCGGCAACAAAGCCTTGCCCCAACAACCAGTTGCGAGATGTTCGGGATGGCCGCACGATGGTGAGATGTTAACCGCCTCGCCTGGTATACAGGAGGCCATGGGTTCAATCGTGACCATGACGCAATGGTGGCAAGGAGATATTAACTACCTCGCCTGGTTTACAGGATGCCGTGGCTTCGATCCTAACCCTGACAATGCCTGTTGTAGATTTGGAGTTTACGACCTCTCTTTCTGTCTCCCCGTTGATTTTTCTCCGGGTCCTCCGGTTTTTCCCTCCCACATTTTAGAAACAGCACGCGCTTCGTGTATTTGGCTGATGATAAGCCACTTCATTGGGCTGTTATTTGTTATCGCCAGGTCGCTTCTGATAGAGCAACATGGCAGCTCCGTGGGGCCTTACCTGGCGAGATTTTGTTGGGTAACCGCTCCTCGGAAAAAATTATAATACAAAATTAACGAAATTCCATTCACTTTTCCATACAACTCAACTTAATGAGAGATCACGTATGTAAGTATGTATGCTAAACTTCTTTTGCACCATATGTATCTAACCATGCTAATTGGAGGAGTGGGAGGACAACAAACTGAACATAATGAGCAGTTCTAAAGAAGGAGTAGTGTAGTGTATAGCAGAGTGGTGTCCATGTGAGTATATGGGTCTCTCTGTGAGTCTATGGGTTTCTGTGTGGGTCTATGGGTCTCGGTGTGAGTCTATGGGTCTCCGTGTGAGTCTATGAGTCTCGGTGTGAGTCTATGGGTCTCTGTGTGAGTCTATGTGTGTAGGTATATTGAACCTCTTTCACAATGTATGTAGCCAACCGTGCTAATTGGAGGAACGGGAGGGAAGGACGACAACAATCTAGATTATGATTTAAAAGTGGCATTGCTCCCCACTTGCTTAATTACATCGGAACGTGAAGAGTGTTCCACACGGACCGCAGAAGCAGCGCAATCTGAAAGCGCCGCAGCAATGCGACGACAACGACATAACGCACCATACCCTTTACCCACACTTCCCCCCACCCTGTACAGGCCAGCCGGGTAAGATGGGGCCGCTGGGTCTCACAGGGCCCATGGGTCCGGAGGGGCCCCCGGGACAAAAGGGGTCGAGGGGAGAGGGGACGGAAGCTCCACGGTCAGTCTTCAGCGTCAAGGTCACGGCCTCCAATGTGCAGGCACTGTCCAAGGTCCCGGTGAGTTGACGGGGGGTCTGTGTGTGCGCCTGAAACGTCGGTCAAACCAAACTACCATTCGCCGAAAAAGGCTAATGGTAGAAAAGGCAATGCAAGTACAGGGGGTTCCGAGACCTACGTCGCCCCGATATTGTACGCCGTTTCGCGCTAATGTCGCTGACTCTTTTGAGGAATCCGATGTCAAATTTTCCCTACTCAGACATGCGTCGTTATGGCGTTATCGTACGGTACAACTCGTAAACTCTACAACTCACTGAACGTACCATAACTCGTAAACTGTACAATTTACAAAATGTACTGTACAACTCAAGAAACGTACTGTACAACTCAAACTGTACAACTCACTAAACGTACTGTACAGCTCATTAAACATACGGTAACAACTCGCAAAACATACAACTCACTCAACGTACTGCAACAATATCCTTAGTTCTTTCGGTAAAGTCACGTTGAAGGGAAAACAACAAAATAATAAAATATATATAAAACAATAAAAATTCTCACGACGTTTCGACCATAACACAAACGGTCATCTTCAGGTGTGTTGGTTTGCATAAATTTATTTTTATTTTTAAACGATGTATTTATTTTTCTTCTTTGGTTCTTTCGGTAAAGTCACGTAGAATGAGAATAAAATAATAAATTGATAAAATAAAATAACACAATAATATTCTCACGACGTTTCGGCCACAACACAAGCGGCCTTCATCAGGTGAAGGGAACGTTAGCACCACGCGCAGCGATTTGGCAGTTTATTTAGGACTAGTCCATCGAGAAGATGGATTCTATCTTAGCAATCATTGGAAAGATTTGATAAACCATTTCAGGTCTTAATTGATTGTTCACGCTTACAGTGGCTTTCAGACAGCATACATTAAAAAAAAATCGTCTCCCCCCTCCTCTTTTCAGAATGTAGATGGACTAGTCCTAAATAAACTGCCAAATCGCTGCGCGTGGCGCTAACGGGGGTTTTTTTTAATATAAATAAATACACCGTTTAAAAATAAAAACAAATTAATGCAAACCAACACACCCGAAGACGACCGTTTGTGTTATGGTCGAAACGTCGTGAGAATTTTTATTGTTTTATATATATTTTATTATTTTGTTGTTTACCCTTCAACGTGACTTTACCGAAAGAACTAAGAATATGAATTACTGCAGTCACGAAAGCTTTAAATCAAAATTTGTACTGCAACAACTCGAAAACTGTACAACTCACTAAACGTACTGCAACAACTCACAAACCATACAACTCACTCAACGTACTACAACACCTCGCAAACCGTACAACTCACTAAACGTACTACAACAACTCGCAAACCGTATAACTCACTCAACGTACTGCAACAACTCACAAACCGTACAACTCACTAAACGTACTGCAACAACTCACAAACAGTACAACTCACTCAACGTACTGCAACAACTCGCAAACCGTACAACTCACTCAACGTACTGCAACAACTCACAAACCGTACAACTCACTCAACGTACTGCAACAACTCGCAAACCGTATAACTCACTCAACGTACTGCAACAACTCACAAACCGTACAACTCACTCAACGTACTGCAACAACTCACAAACCGTACAACTCACTCAACGTACTGCAACAACTCACAAACCGTACAACTCACTAAACGTACTGCAACAACTCGCAAACCGTACAACTCACTTAACGTATTGCAACAACTCGCAAACCGTACAACTCGCTCAACGTACTGCAACAACTCGCAAACCGTACAACTCACTCAACGTACTGCAACAACTCGCAAACCGTACAACTCATTTAACGTACTACAACAACTCGCAAACTGTACAACTCACTAAACGTACTACAACAACTCGCAAACCGTACAACTCACTCAACGTACTGCAACAACTCGCAAACCGTACAACTCACTCAACGTACTGCAACAACTCGCAAACAGTACAACTCACTCAACGTACTGCAACAACTCGCAAACCGTACAACTCACTCAACGTACTGCAACAACTCGCAAACCGTACAACTCACTCAACGTACTGCAACAACTCGCAAACCGTACAACTCACTCAACGTACTGCAACAACTCACAAACCTTACAACTCACTCAACGTACTGCAACAACTCGCAAACCGTACAACTCACTCAGCATACTGCAACAACTCGCAAACCGTACAACTGACTTAACGTACTGCAACAACTCACAAACAGTACAACTCACTCAACGTACTGCAAACAACTCACAAACCGTACAACTCACTCAACGTACTGCAACAACTCGCAAACCGTACAACTGACTTAACGTACTGCAACAACTCACAAACAGTACAACTCACTCAACGTACTGCAAACAACTCACAAACCGTACAACTCACTCAACGTACTGCAACAACTCGTATCTCGCACAAGTGCCGCCACCTTCACGGTCTCATCGTGTTCTCACGCGTCGTGCATAGCTACGAGTGCTCGCTTTGTCGATGGGCACGGGCTTTGTCGCAAATGATCGTCGCGACCACTTCAACAATGAGAGGGGCGAGCGTGGTGCTCATGTGCACGCAGTGAGCGTAAGAAAAAGGACGGTGGTGTTCAAATGTGAAGTGATAAAGAGTACCAGGAAAGGTGCACGTGCAGTTGATCTTGGGCACCATTTGAATGAGAATCAGTATTTATACTGCAGGAGAAATCCGATAAGCTATCAAGCAGTATTTTTTTCACAGATGTCCAGTAGAGGCACGGCGTCAGAACGTTACAACAACAAACAATGCAAAAATATATAATTAGTGCAACGTATGAACGGTAGTTAAAATTGGTATATGAATAGGGATGGGGTATGGAGAGGGACTTTAGTAGGTATGGGAATTATGGGGGTACCTGGGGATGGAGATAAGGATGGGCCAGTGAATAGAGGCGGGGGTCTTGAGATAGGAGCGGAAACTAGAAAGGGAGGGAGCTTGCTTAATGTGGAGGGGAAGTTTGTTCCAGTGCAAGGGGAGCAAGTAGAGAAAATGAACGGGATTATGATAAAAGCAAATCAGCCGTACGGAAACGCCCCATCACAACCCACGGATCCTGTTTGACGGCACAAGGTAAACGAATCACCCAAATTTTGACTTACAACTTTCGTGACTGCAGGAATTCATATCCTTTGGTTATTTCTGTAAAGTCACGTAGATAGAAAATAATACAAATTAAACAAATAAAATAAGTTTAAAAATCATGACGTTTCGATCGCAACACAAGCGCCTGATGACGACCTCATGTGTTGCGATCGAAACCTGGTGAGTTTTTGGTTTTAATTTTTTGAATATTTTATTGTTATTTTATTATTAATTTCTGTCTACATGAATTTACCGAAAGAACCAAAGAATATGAAATCACCTAAACACATACTCATAAAACTAAACCATTCCCATCCTACCAGGCAAATCCCACTGAGGGACTAACTTATTTTACCGAAGCGACCTGGCCATAAATGCTAGCTCAACAAATTGGCCCATCATTAGGACATTTATGGCATCAAAATAATCTAACTACATTTTAATGCACGTTTCCAAATGTGGAGGGGAAAATCTGGAGAAAAAATCTACACGACCATGTAAGAAAGAGACGAATGCAACCGTCAAATATACAGGTGTCACGATTGGTATCGAACCTCCGACCTCCTGCATACCAGGCGAGGAGGTTAACATCACACCACCGTGACGCCCTTCAAATACATCTTATTTTAACCAGTGCACACGTACGATAGTGATGCATGCTGATGAAATGGAAAGTAGAGCTAAGCACGCTTTGATGCATTCGGAAGTTAACATTACACAGCAAAGAAAGCGTTGTCGTGGGACAATAAAAAAAAATTGAATGATTGCTGGCGTTATGGATCGAGGATATTGCACAAACAAGAACGCGCCAGTTGGCTTACCGCCTCATTCAGGAGAACGCCCTGAGCTTGTACGAGGGACTTGAACAATTATTTGGGAGAGGAAGAAGCGGCAGAGTGTGAAACCATTCAAGCTCGCCTGTGGGTGGTTTTTACAGATTTCAGGCATGATATATCCATGGGAGGTTTTTTTTCTTGCGTGAGATCTCGTAAATATGAATGTATTCAAACCGCCACGACCCGACACAGCCGATTATTATGGTTTGTAATTTATGCCCCCCCCCTCCCGTATCAAATATATTAATAGCTCGGCTTGAGCAGTTATACCAAGATTATATTTTTTTGCGAGTACTATCAAAATAATGTAAAAAAAAATCAGAACATGCTTTAACCTTTCCGGAAATAAAACAGGTGAGCGGTTTTTTTTTTACATTTGTCTTTTAAAAAAATTAGTTTAATCTAAACTCGCGTGAAGCGCCTTACAAAAAAAACAGAACACACACGTGCGATACGAAAAGCAACCGATTATTGAAAATTATTCTGAAAAATTAAGAATAGGTTTTGCCTTTTCTGGCAATAAAACAGGTGTTAAGATATTCTTGGTTCTTTCGGTAAAGTCACGTAGAAGGGAAATATTAAAATAATACAAATAAACATAATTAAATTCTCACCGACGTTTGACCGCCACTTTTTTCAAATTTTCTCGCTGTGGTTTTCACACCTGATGATGATTGCTTGTATTGAAATCGAAACGTTGTGATAATTTGTTATCGTTTTATATTGTTTATTTATTTTATTATTTCCCTCCTACGTGACTTTACCGCAATAACCCAGAATGTGAATCCCTGCAGTCACGAAAGCTTCAAATCGAAGGTGTTAAGATGTTCAACCACGAAATAGAAACCTGTTTTATTGGCAAAAAGGATCAAACCTATTCTTAGTTTTCATACTTTGATGGTGCCATTTGTAGCTCAACCCGAACTATAAATGCCCTGATACTTGCATTGCTACTCTTTGTTCTGTTCAGTAAAGTAACGTCGATAGAAAACTATTTTAAATATACTCTCTCACCTGAAGACGATTGCTTGTGTTGCGATTGGAAATGTCGTGATCTGTTATTTTTTTCTTATCTACGGCACGTGCACACTGCAAGACGGCACGTGCACAACTCCACCACAGCACGTGCACACTGCAAGACGGCACGTGCACAACTCCACCACAGCACGTGCACACTGCAAGACGGGACGTGCACAACTCCACCACAGCACGTGCACACTGATAGACGTCACGTGCACACTGCAAGACGTCACGTGCACAACTCCACCACAGCACGTGCACACTGCAAGACAGCACGTGCACACTGCAAGACGGCACGTGCACACTGCAA